CATTTGGGATGGTTGTATAATCAAAAACTCATTTGGCCTGTCACAAGATTTAAACTGTCCTATTGAAGACTCACTTGTTTCATGCCATATATAAATGAAGAACCAAAAACAGCACTTTTCTTATTGGTTCCATGTATAGTGATCAGAAACTGTAAGGATATTCCAGGTTCTGGGATCTGTACTTGTATCCTTGGTCTCATCACTTTGACAGATTATGTCCACATTTTTGACTAGCTTTGCCCCAGGCCTAATCTCCTATCTCATTTCCCCATCACAGACAATCCCTAATACTCTTAAAGGGATGCTGAAAGAGTGGAGATCTTTTTTCTTCCTATAGTTGTTTTCTGTACAAAGGGGTTGTAGGCCTCACTTATTGGGAATTATGTGCTTTTTACTACCTTTGGATTTTGGGGCTTACTGGCTGACCTGGAAAGAACCTTTTAAAAGACAATAAGAAAAGAGTTAGTGCTTTTATGTCACAGACTCTTGGGTTGATTGTTTAATGGAGAAAAGCTCTTAGTGAATTTTTCAGAAGTTATAGTCTGGGCTGTCATCTGGACCATCATCGGTTTCAGCTCTGAATAGACAAATTTGCTATCTTTTGAGAAAAGAGAGGCCAAATCTGAGAAGGATCAGGTCATATTTCCTGGTCTTAGAAGGTGGGCTATGACTGATCAAATAATTAGAGACATGTTTTTGAGCTATTGTTACTGGTTTTGGGCTACTGGAGTCTCCTCTTAGAAATGATTTTTAGGTTCTTCTTGAACAAACAATTGTTTAAGGTAAGCAGAACATAGAAAGATAGGCGATAAACAAGAGCTACAGAGTGAAAATAGTCCAATTAAAAATAGGAGAAGAAGCACATGCTATAGGATGAGAGCTGCCCACTGTGAAAGAGCACAGTGGCCCAGGGCACAATGGCAGCCATCTTTTGTATCACTCTCTCCTCAGCTGACATCAAGTCTAGGCTACCAATCAAAAACCTGCTCGAGTTCTCATGGGAAGAACTGTAGATAGTATTTTCTGATAGGTCCCCGGTGCAGGGTTTGAGTGCACATCCTAGATCTCTGTGATTGGCAGATTATGCCTATTTGGCCATCACACTGGCCACACTCTTGCCTCACTATTATTTGGAAGAAGTTTCCTAAGGAGTTTTATTTCCTTACTATCTGTGGAGAAGAAAGCAGAGCAAAGAGGGTAATTAGATAAAATAGCAAGACCCTGAAAGCTATAGCCCTAGAAAGATCAACTAAATTATAAATCCAATTAAAACCAGTAGTCTGGGGCCCGCCAAATAGCTCACCAGATTAAAGTGTCTACAAGCAGGCCCAGGGGACAGGGGTTCAATCCCTGGGCCTGCTGTGCTGGACCTGCCCCTGGGACACGCTGAGAATGCAATTGAGACAGCATGGTGGTGTATGCCTGTAATCCCAGTTTTTGGGAGTCTGTAAACAGGTGGATCACTAAGAGTCTTATATACTAGTGAGACTCTGAACACCCTGTAGACCCTTCCCTAAAAAAAAAAAAAAAAAAAAAAAAGACAGTAGTCCAAATGCAGGTACTTATTTAAGCTGTGGTGGATTGGGGTCATTAGTGATTCTACAACTTGAGCAGTACTGAAGTTTTACTTTTTGAAGAGATGCCTCAGATCTCCCAGATGTTCACAGAGTAGCTTTTTTTAAATGATCTTTTTCGTCAGACAGTTCAGATGGGATGGGCTTTATTCTAGAAAAGTGAATTCAGCTATCTGTCCTTTCCATCTTTACTGAAGTGGGATGGCAAGGATTACTGAAAAGGACGCTTTCTGTTTGGTTTTAGTTGTTCTGCAGGATTTCCTTCTTTCCAAGTTTTTGTGAGCACTTGGTCTCCAGGGTAGATATTCTGTGTTCCCCTGGGCCAGGAGTTGGCAGGACTTTGTTTCCATATAGTTGATAGTTTGTTGTACTCATCCTGGTTATCTACATGCCAAAGACTAAAACTAGCCTCATCCTTTACTGTGCACTAAAGTAAATGCAGATCAAAGATCTAAAGATTAAAACAGAAACACCTGCCATCTTCTGTGCTGAAAGAAAGAGTATATAGAAATCTTGAAGACCAAGAGGATAGGCAAAGAGTTTAGGAACAAAACCCAAACTGCATGTGAAATACTTCACAGAACCAATAACTGGGACCTCATCTTATTAAAAAGCTTTTGCACATTGAAAGAAATCACCAACAGAATGAAAAGTCAACCTGCAAAATAGGAAAAAACTTCAGCCAATTTTCCCTCAGACAAAGGACATACCCAGAACATAAAAACAATTAAAAAATCAGAACCCCCACATTCAAAGACTAACTCCTAAAATGGGAATCATAGATGAATATGCACTTCTCAGATGAAGAAATACAAATGGCAAATAATTATATGAAAAAAATGTTCAACATCATTGGTCATTTGAGAGATATAAATTAAAACAACACTGAAATTCCATCCCACCTCAGAAAGAATGGCTATCACCAAAAAAATCAACTGATAACAAATGCTGGTGAGGACATGCAGAAAAAGAAACTCTTTTCCACTGTTGATGGGAGGGTTACTGGTACAACTACTGTAGAAATCTGTGTGGAGATTCCTCACAAAACTAAGAGTAGAGGTCTCATTTAATCCAGCTAGTCCTCTTTGAAGTATCTTCCCAGAAGAATTTAAAACATCATACCATGGCGATATATGTACACACATGTTTAGAACAGCACAATTTGTAATAGCTAAATCCTGGTAGCAACTCAAATGCCCATCAACCACAGAATGTATAATAAAGATGTGTGTGTGTTTTTTTAAATAAAATAAAATACTACTCAGCCATAAAGAAAGATAAAACTAGAGACTTTTATAGTTAAATGGATGCAACTTCAGACCATTATCATTAGTGAAATAAATCAAATGCACGTATGTAAGTATCATATTGTCTCCCTAGTGTGAGTGACTGAAAGAGTAAGTAAGGTCTAAAATGTAAACTATTAAAAAATAAATATTGTGAAGGGGGAAGAAATGGTTAAAAAAGAAAAAGAAACTAGGATAAAGAAAGGGGAAAGTCTCAATAAAATTAATAAAAAGGGGGGAAAGGAAGGAAGGGAAAGAGAGAAAAATTGCAAATTTGGTGTCCCCTAGTTCATCACTAGCATTGATTGAAGAATTTTTTGTACCTATATCTTGTACTCTGAATAACAACTTTAAAGATAATAACAAGCAATGCATTAATTATTGTTATTTTCCTATCATATTGTCATGAAATTTTGTTTTTTTCCATATAAAGTAGGAATAAAGAAGCTCTAATGAGGGGTCATTTTGAGCCAGACTGTGTCTCTAATTTAGAGGCGGGTTTCCAGAGAAAGCTACTTTTGTAGCTATAAGAAATTGAATTTGCTTACTCATGAGATTTGTGGCCACCTAGGCTTCCTTGCAATATGGAGATGTCCTTGGACAGAGGCTTTGCTGTTTTTCCAGGCCCCCTCAGACCTCTCTGTAGGAATGGGAGGTGAGGCTGGCTTAGCCCTTCTCTGAGAGTGGAGACAATCAATCCCTCAGTGCCATGAGGCGAGCACACCGATTGCCTGACATACAGAACAGGACCCAGCCAAAGGCCTAGTTCGTTTGTGTGCCCAATGGCCCCTTTTCCTTGCATTTAAAGCAGAATTTCTCTCCTTGATTGGTTCTGAGTTTTCCCCTGAGTGACATGGGTGTCCTTTAAACATTGTCAATTTTGGCAGCCATAATTTTGGCCTAGTGATTTCTGAGTTTGTCTGCTTTTCCTCCTCCTCCAGATCCCCATTGTTGAACACAGAAAAAGGTGCCTCAGAAATTAGGTCATTGGGATTTGGGAGCCTATCAGAAATTTTATTTTTTAATTTGTGGAAAATATCTAGGAACTAATTGACTAATGAAATGGTGTACCATTAGTGCTTGCCCCTCCTTGGAATATGAGTCTAAGTTGGTATATTTACAGAAAAAGCATCTACTAATCAGCTATGAAAGATAGCTGGATTTTTCTCTTGGCCCTTTATAATCTCTAACCTTTTCAAAATTAGCAGTTTCTTCATGTATTTTATTATTTCTACAACAAGAGCACTCATCATTTTAGGTTTTGTGTTAGTCTATCCCTGACACTATAGTCCTAGTTTTGTTCCATCAAAGGGACAGTAACCTCCCTGGGGTGAGTCCCTCCTCTTTCTGCAGCATAGTGTTGGATACCTCACCATGCTTCTGTTTCTGCAGCATGCTGTTCATCTGCATATCTTCCACCATCTTCTAGGATTCTTTGCTTTTCATCTGGGGTACAGCAAGTGGTGAAGACAAATTGGACATCTTACCATGAGAGTTGTCTTAGTTATTCTTCTCTTGTTGCTGGGATGAATACCCGACACCCAAAATGAAGGAAGGAAAGGTTTATTTAGCTCACAGTCAGTGGAGGTTTCATTCTATACTCAGCGGGCTCCAAGGTGAGGTGGCACATGGCAGAGAGTATCAGCTCTTGGCAGCAGCAAAGGGCAAAGAACAAAGGGAGTGGCAGCACCTCAGGCAGCTAACTAGCCTCCTCCTCCTTACATTGTAATGCAAATTACCTGCCCCAGGGCAGGTGCAGCACCTACACCAACAATAATCAATTACAAACTCCAGAAGCTACCCCATGACTGCCTGAGGCTTGGGGGTGGGGGTGGGGGACACCTATACACTAACCATAGCAAGAGGTCAAACATCAGGATCAAAGTTTGAAACCCTTCTGAAAACCTATTGGGATACTATAAAAACTGTCCTATAAACATGCTTTGCATTGTTAGAGATCTGCCACTGCAAAAAGGAACTTGGATTCAAGTAGTGTTCTTTACTACTCTCCTCCCCCTCCTCCTCCTCCTTTCCTCCTCACTCTTCTACTTCCTCTCCTGCCCTCCCCCTCCCCTCCTCCTCTCTTCCTCTCCTCCTCACTCTTCTACCCCGCCTCCCCCCTTCTTCTCCTCTCCCTCACCCGCCCTCCTCTTTCTTATCCTCCTCCTCCTCCTCATCCTCCTCTACCAAAAGCTGTTTGAAGAGTGTGAGGAAGGGCCTGAGAAATGCTGAATCTCCCTGGAGCCCTACATGCTGATGGAATTTCTGAGTCATTTGGGGTAGGGCTGATTCACTGATGTGACCTGAAGGTGATAAGGAGGAGGTTGAGGAGACTTCAGAGTGACATTTCTTTCATTAGAGGAGACTCATGTCCCCATGACAAATAGATGGGTGGGGGAGTTTGACATGTGATTATCAATGATATCAGTCTCCTCTTTGGGAACTTCTTTTTTTTTTTTTTTGAGGGAGTGCAGGCTCAGCCCACCCTGAGGGGGCTTTAGACCACTGAACTATTTTGCCACCTGCAGACTTCCTTAAGGACCATATCTCTTTTTTTTCAAAGTTTTATTGATAAACAGATAACAATGAGACAGTTTCAGATCAAATCAGAAGTACAGGTTCAACAAATAATACACTGCATATATTCTTCTTAGTGGTTAATTGCTGTACAAGATGCGGACTTGTGATCCT